GAGGAAGGACCGGCTGTTCTGCCCGCGGGTGGGCGTGTGGCTGGGCGAAAGGGTGGCAGGGAACAGAGAGTTCTCCTGTGCACTGTTGGCCCGAGCACGGACACTCGTCCCTGCAGGGCACCCCGGCTACTGGCGTTAGGACCAGCAGAGGCACCGCTCCCTCGCAGAGCCCCAGAGGGGTATGCAGCCCTGCACACTGAGTGCTACGATTGCACGGTGTGTGCTAGGGGCCAAATCCTGTCCTATGCACTCGGGTGACCATGGACAGGAACCCAAGCTTCAGCCCCAACCTGGAGGCCCTTGTAGCCCTGGCATCAGATGCTGAGGTGCCAGCGAAGAACCGCAGGCTCCCGGGGGCGTCCTGAACTCATGTGCCCTGGCCATGGGCTCAGTGCGTCTCCCAAATTTCATGCTAGAAACTCAACCCCTAATTCATGCTGATGGCATGGGGAAGTAACAGGGGTTACACACGGATGCAAAGGCAGGGCCCGTGACGGCATCAGTGGCTATAAAGAAGGCAGGACACCCAGGTTGTCACACCTGCCGTCTCGTCACACAGTGCCCTCTACGGTGCCATGTGGCTGGGAGCAGTCGGGCTGCAAGGGTGCCACCACCATGCCTTGGAAATTGAATCACACAACCGCTACAAAAGCTGACTGGGACAGTCCTCTCTTTATGAAGTGAAGCCCTGGTGCTGAGCAGCTGGGCAGGTCTCACTCTGACACCCTGGAGTCACAGCGATGCCCAGCCCCTCACGCCGACACCCCGGGGTCTCACAGAGACACCCCACCTCTGCTGATGCTTGGCGCCACCCGCAGCACTGATGGCAGGGCACTTCCCTGCCACGGTGCTGGCCCAGCAGGCCCGGGCTCCGCAACTAACTGTGTATAGCTCTGTCCAGAACCAGCTCAAAACCTGGCCGACTGGGCCAGAAGACAGAGGGCTGTGCATGTGGGGGTAGGGACAGGGGTGGGGGGACAGCACCCCACTTTGTCAGGCGGCTGGGTGCAGCTACGAGAGGTGGGGCAACCACAAGGACAGGTGGGCCTGGTTTCCTCTGCGTCCTGGGAGCTCCCCAGCTGGCAGCTCAAAGCGGGACCCTGCGTTAGCCGGAGCTTTCTTTGTCCCTCTCCCATTTTCACCCCTTCCAAGGCCCCCCTCACCTCTCTGAACATGCTGAACACACCTGAGCACACACCCATGCCGTGCACGCACCCATGCCAGGCACCGGCCAACACATGGCAACTCACATCACCTGGCTGCAGCCCTGCAGAGGCACAGGCTGCAAGGCCAAGCCTGGCCACTAGAGGGCAACATGGGCACCAGAACACAGGAACTGCTCTTCAAAGTCCTCGCCAGTGGCTGCCCAGCACAAGCCTCAGCCCAGACCAGATGCCAGGCCTCTGACAAAACCCACAGGAGAGAAAGTGACTGCTTCTGACCTCCAAAGAGACGCCCACTGCCTACCCTCCCCCAAAAGGAGGGAGACCTGACGGGGGGGTGGGGGTGCCCCTGGGCAGGGGTGAGGATTATGGGCAGAGCATGCAACGGTAGACCCCCAGGCAGGTGGACATCCCGTTTCCCTGTCTCTGGCCACACAGGCCGTGACTCCTCATCTGCCCTGCAAACAGCACATGGCTTGGGTGTGTGTGGCTCCCGCATCCTCCCGCAGTCCCTGCATCCGCACGGTCACGGCCACGGTCCCTGGGCTTCACGCTGCAGCTCAGCCCTCCCCCACCTCCCAGGGCACGCAGCTCTGCACCTCCTCTGCCTCTCTCTCACTCCACCCGGACTGCTCTCTCATCTGAAAGCCAGCCAGATGCCCTCCGGGGGCTGGAGCACCACCCGCACTGGCCACTCTGAAAGGGAAGGGAATACCTCCTGCTCCACCGTCTGACCACCCTAGGGGTAGGGCTGAGCTTTGGCACAGGGTGCCTTCCGAGGCCCACTGCTGTGCAGGGGGCAGGCTCACTGGCAGGCCGCAGGGAGCTGAGCTTTTTGCAGATTGAGAGCACACAAGCACACAAGCCCACACCAGGCACGTGTGAGCAACACCCATGCCCCCTGAGGGCAGACTTCAAGGCAGGCAGTCTTCCTTAGTAATCATCCAGTCAAGGCCAGGAGAGGAATGAGCTGTTAGGTTCCCTGTGCAACTTTCACCCCTGTGCTCCTCTAACAAAGCGGGAGCTGAACAGAGGAAGCAGCACCCCGCCAGGCGATGATTTTTAGCAGGCGGGATCACTTCTGCGGGCATCAGCGATCAGCTTCTCCACGGCTGGCAAATACTTGCCACTTAGGTTTTCACATAACATGAAGAGACGTATACCACCACCCTCGGAGCCACCTTAAAGGCCTCAGGAAAACAGACGACTTCCCAGCTATGTGTTCTCTTGCTGCTAAATACAAATCCAGTGATGGTGGAGATATGAAAATTCCGGATTTAGCGTTTTGGTTTTGGATTTGATATTTACACAGAATTCAGCAGAAAGAAAAACACCCATAATCACAGTAACCTTACAGAAGAATTTGATTTTTACACACTAACTTTCCGATCTATCCCTAGATACAGATGCATTGCCACAAGTCCTGAGAGCTTTATCTGTAAGCGTGATTTAATTTCCAAAACTTGGCCCCGTGGCTGAGTTCACAAGGGGATCCCAGCTGGTGCTCAGGCCTGATGGACAGGACTCTCCCCCACAGGACACGCGTTTTCACCAGGCTTCTCCCGGTCATCTGTGTGCAGCTGGAGGCCACTGGACACACCCAGGTAAACGTCTGTAAACTACCTTGACGTACCATCAGTCACTGGCAGGACCACACGACAGTAACCGATTTTACAAAAACCTGCGTGGAGTGCAAGCAGGACAGCGCAAAGGGAAGTGGTAACAACAAAAGTGCACCCCATTCGGAGGGCGCATCCGAGGTGCGGGGACCGGCTCAGGCTGCAAACTCCGAGGAGCAGGACCCGAGCACAGGATCGTGAGTCTCCCCGCTCGCCCAAGGTCTCCCCAGGTGCCCGACTCTGAAACCTGCTCTCACGGGCATACACGGTTCTGCCCCCAGCCCCGTCTCAGCAGAGAAGGCATCAGGTGCTAGGAAGGCAGGCTGAGGTCGGTGCCCAGCCGTGACAACACCCTCCTCTGCTGCCTCGCGCCCATCAGTTCTGACCTGCAGATCCCAAGGGCCACCCCTCTCTCCCCAGCCACACCAAGGGATTCTCTAGCAACAGGGTCAGGATCAGACGGCCAGAGCAAAGTCCCCAAGCTTTCTGTAACAAGGACAATGAGGAGCCACCTACATGCCCACCAGCAGGGGTCGGCACCCACAGACCAGCACACGCTGCCCTGAGGAGCCATCATGCGAAAACACGCAGGGAAACCCAAGAAAGGAGGGGAGGGCAGTGCAGCCCCTAGGCAGCAGCAGCCAGAAGCCCACTATCCCTACGCACCCGAGGCCCCCTCTCTCTTCTTGAATTTTTTTTTTATTTTAAAGAGAAAAAACGATAACAAAACCCGAGACTCAAAACAGGCCAGCAGGACAGTTACAGTAGCTGACACACTGCGCACCGCTGTCCTCCTAGTACTCAGAGTGCAGCAGACAGGTATGACACCGCGTCCAAATGATAACGGCACAAACAGTCTGTCCAAGGAGCAGGCAGAAGCCGGCTGTGTAGCTGGCTTAACCTCTTCTGCGTGTGTGTATGTGTATTACTTATCTACATATAATCTTCTCCTTTTTCCCTTTCTTCCTCTGCCCCTCACAGTCCCGCCAAGGGAAACAGAGCAGCCCTTCAGGGGACAGGGCTGCACCTGTGCTGCCAGGTGACGGGAGTCAGCATGAGCGCATTAGGGCAAATGGATGTCACGCGCCTCCCGCTGGGACCCGGAAGTCCGCAGGCCCCCACGATCCTGCTGCCGGAGGTGATTAACGCGGACCGTGACAAGGAAACATCACAGGCACAGGGCCTGAGCAGCTGCCGGCGCCCTTCACTCGCCAAGGTCAAAGCGAAGCGCAGAGGTCGGAGGTGCGCCGCGGCTCCAGGTGCCAGGTGCCCAGGGACCGCGAGCCACAGCGGCTGCACGGGACGCTCAGTCCCACCCTGGAGGAAAGAGACACAAACAGCGCTCCCGGGACGCGTGGACAGCGATAGGACAGCACTGTGCCGATGTTTAGTTTACTTCAACAATGCTGCTGTGACACGTAAGAACACATCCTCGGGAAGAGACTGCAGCACTGGGGACCACCAGGCCGGAAAGTCCACGGGGCTTTTGAGTGCTCCGGGGACCACACACACACGGGGACGAACACGGAGACCACAGTGTGCACGGCTCACGCGGTGCAGGGAGCCGCAGTCCTGGGCTTGCAACCTCACTGTGTGCCCGGAGGCGCAGCCACCCTGAAGGAGTCGCCCTGCTGCCCTCTGCCGGAAGCTTCTGCCCGGCAGCCTCCTCCGCGCAGGGCTCGACCAGCAGCGCAGCCGCAGGCCCCGCACGCCACCTACTGTCCAAGACGAGCACTGCACCCCCAGCGCTCAGTAACTTCTGTTCCCAGTCCCGGGTGACCTCGGCGCCAAGGCCAAGGAGAGCAGAGCACACGGCAGGATGGAGTGCACGGCCCCAGAGAGCAGGCAGGGCCTCTGCACCTGGCCTCGCTGAGGGTTTCACGCGGGAAGACTCCTGCTGGGCCCTTCCTCTCGCGGTCCACCCCACTGCCTGTCACCCTCCCTGCTGACCTCAGCACCACCGCAGGGGTCTGGCCACTGTCTTTCCTTCGGGCTCTGAGACACAGCAGGCGCCAGCCAGCCCAGTGCAGTGCACCGAGGACAGCAGCAGGAAACGGGCCCAGGAAAGGGGAACAGAAGTGAGCCGCAGCTCACTAGGGAAGCGCGTGCCGGGAACTGTCCAGACACCCCGTCATCCGGGGACTTTCCAGTGGAAGCGCACACTGGACACACGCGTGCGCCATGCACCCACCCCCGCCCCGCACGCGCAGGGACTCACCCAGGTCGGTGTTGGGCTCCGCCAGCAGCTGCTTGAACTTGTCCAGCCGGGAGGCCTCTCTCTCACTCAGCGCCGAGCCATGGTCGGACGGCCCGCCCAGTGTGACGGTGGCCGAGGGTGGGAGAGACTGGGACCTCTGCAGAGGGACGGGCTCACTGGTACTCTCTGCAAGGGGAGAGAGAACAGGGTGAGTGGGAGGAGAGGCCTCCCGACATCGTGGGATCGCAGCTCCCCCTCCCATCACCCGAACACAGCACCCCGGTTTCTCGAACCACAGCTGTGAAGGGTCATCTGTGCGACTCCCCCTCCCCGTGCCACCTATCAGGAAAGTCTACACCTCCGCATAGGTCACAAGGTGACAGAAGGAAAGTCCTGGCCACCTCAGGGCTGTCGGGGATCCTGCCTCCAGTGCCTGGACAGCAGAGGAGGCTGTCCAGTGACAACCCACAGACCCCCCGAGGAAGGGGCCTGCGTGGGCTCCCAGGTCTACAGGTGGTGGCCAAGCCCATGGAGTCACCTTCCAACGAGAGGACAGTGCTGCAAGGGCAGAACAATCAATACAGGTGACCAGGACCCCAGAGCACCACCTGCCGTCCCCACCCCCAGGACCACACCACAGTCCTCAGAGCAAGGAGACCAAGGCTACCAGGCAGGCAAGGAAGGGCAGCTGACCAGGCCCGGAGTGAGTGTCTCCCACTGCTGCAGACACGGGGACAGCGGGGAGGACAGCGAGAGCAGGGGAAGAGCTGACAGTGTCCAGGTCACCAACACAGGGCCACCCAGGGCCAACAGGCAGGAGGCTCCAAGAGCTAAGTGATACCTAGCAGCTCGGCTTTCCAAACCAGCCATGTGAACGGCCAGAAAAGGAACCAGAACTCGGCTGCAGAGCCAAAGTGCTGACATCACTTCCGGCAGCTGCAGGAGCTCAAGCAAGACCACCTGGCCCTCCCCTGGCTTCCTCCTTTCCCCCAAGCCTGGCTCCCTCCTAGGCGGGACGAGGTGTCCCGAAGCCTCCCAGTCTCCATGAGAGCCCAAGTCAGGACACAGCAGGCAATGTGCAGAGGTGGCCTCCTCCCTGGCCTGAGAGCCAGCCTGGGAGAGTGGGACTCTGCACCCCTCTGTCCCGTTTGAGACCCTGGAGGGAAAGCTTGAGCAGGAGGAAAGCGCCACAGCTCCAGGGTGTCAGCCCGGATCGGGAGAGATGACAAGGAGGCCCTGGTGCCTGCAGCCTCCGAGGGCCACCCCATCCTGAGCAGGATGACTTCCTTCCCCGCTCTGAAACACAGCAGGTGGAACCCTGACAGCAACAGCAGTGGCCCCGAGGAAGCAGTGAGCAGAAGGCACATCAATGCCCGTCACAGGGCAGCAGGATGGCCACCAGCCAACGTCCACCAGAGACCTGTCACAGCCTGGGCACCATCGGCTACAGAGACAGCTTTCAGTCACTGCTCATGAGCGGGGACCTCAAGACCCCTCCTAACCAAGGACCCCAACATCACTAAGTGAGCAAAGTGCACCTGGCTTCGGGATGGCCAGGCCTCCACGGATACAGGTGGGACAGCACAGGTGAGCACAGGCACACAGGCCACAAGCACTAGCAGAGTGATGTCTAGCACCCACGAGGTGGCACACATGACAAGTGCGCCACAGAAGCCCAAATGACACAAACACAGGGAGCAGCAAGGCCAGCAAAGCAGACTGACCTTAGGGACGCTTGAAACAGCGAAGTCGTGCGTGTGGGCGTAAAGCATGCTGGACTCTGGGTCTAGGACCAGCAGAGGCCCTGGCTCCCGAGCAGCGGTGCTGTGAGCGGGCTGCACAGACACCAGGCCGTGGATGAAACGTGTTTACAGGACCGATGCGGACCCAACTGAGGCATGCTGCCCCGTCCAGGAACTTACAGTGTCTCAGTTACTTTTCTCATTCTTAAGATAAAATACCCAACACTTACAGCTCTAGAGGAAAGACTTATTTTAGCTCACGGAGGTTTCAGTCTTCCAGTGAGGTGTCCCAGGGCAGGCAGCATGGCACGGGGACTGGCAGGAGAGACAGTCCACACGGGGCAGACAGGACGCAGCACAGCGGCCGTGCAGAGCCTCCCTTTCTCCCTTTCTCTTTTACCCCGGCAGGCTATGAGCCTTCCAGGTGGTGCCACTCCCGCCAGAGGGGGTCTTCCACACCCAGAACTGTGCTAACCCAGTCAGTGGGCTAGCTTAGTACCAGGCACCCTTACCCCCGGCCTCACACACCTGTGAGCCAGTGTCACACGCTCGTGATGCAGCCACCTCCCAGCAGCCCCACCTGTGAGTGCTGGAGCTCCTGGGCGCATCTGGATACAAGCCTTAATTAACACTGCACACAGCTGTCGCGTGCAGTCAGACAGATGCAGCCCCACCTTCCCCTCTCAGGGGATGGAGACAGGGCAGATGGCCCTAACTTTCTGGCCCAGGAGACCCCACAGAGCTCCCTCCTCTGTGAAGCCCCCCCAACCTTCTGTTCAACACAAAACGGGAACTCTGGCCCCACGCACACCTGTGCTTGTCTGTCCCTACACTCGGTCACTACGGACCAGGGCCTCCAACTGCAGACCAGGGCTCCTCGGCGTCACCAAGGACGTGAGGAGTGGTCCTGTCTCTGTTGGTGATGGGGGCTGCCCAGGGGACCGCGGGTGCTGTGCAGAATCCCAGCCTTTACCCACCCTGGCAGCAACACAGATTCTGCCACAGACTGTCTGAGACTCTGCCCCCTCTCCCCTGGGAAAGAGCATGTAGAGAGGGCATGCAGACAGCAGAGGCTCTGCAGCCAGACACCCGGGTTTGAGTCCCAGTCCTGCACTCGGGTAGCAGCTCCGGCCCTCTCAGCACCTCTCAGTGAAAGAGGAGTAACCACCCGTCTTCCCACCCACAAGTTTAATGAGGTACCACGGGAGCTGCTGCAAAGTTTAATGAGTTTATCACCCAAACGGCTGGTTACAATAGCTGCCCCCAGGAAACCATCAAATGTTACCATCATGACTACTCTGAATTACTGAAATGTGTCCCCAGGAAGCAAATACAGGAAAGAGAGCCAACCCCAACAAGGCACAAGCACAAGGTACAAGGACACGGACGCCTTTCCATGGGCACGAGCTGCCTTGAACAGGAGGCGCCTCCCACACCCAGCTGGATGCAGCCTGGCTCAGCTCTGTGAGGACCCCACACACCCCACAGTCTGGCCCGAGTCTGGGGTGCTAAGGATGGTGAGGACCACAGAGGACCCGCCCCACCCCATGGTTCCAGACGTCTCCATGGCTGGGACATGTCACCAGCACAGCGTGCCAGCAGGTGAGCTCCGGGTTCCTGTCAACACCAGTGCCTGCCACAGCTGCGACTCAGCGAGCAGGAGACAGGAAATGGGCACCTTCCTCAGCACCAGGACTGATGACCAAAGGCAAAGGCCTGATTTTCACCTATAAGTGCAAGTGCTTTAAGTTTGTCAGACTCGGGCTGGGGACTTAGCTCAGCAGCACAAGCACCTGCATGGTAAGCACAAGGCCGTGAGTTCAAATCCCAGTACAAAAGAAAAAACTGATAGAGTCTGCTATCAAAATGGATCAAATGAAAGAATTCGTGACATCCACACCCACACCCAGGGCCCTGTAACATGTTGGGAGCTCAGTTCCTAGACGGCATTCTCAGTACCACAGTGGGTATGAAACCCAGTCCTGAACCTATTTGTGAGGTGAACTCAAAAATCCTATGATGATCCGTCTTCTCACCTGTTAACGTGGGGAGAGTGCAGGGAAGAGGTGGGTGTGAGACCCTGCACCCCCACAGCCCACCCCTGAGAGCCACAAGCCTCCCACCACAGGTGGAGGAGACTCGCTCTGCTTGGAGGGGTAAAGGAAAGCACACCAGACCCCGAGGGAACCACAGGCTGCTCCCCACCTCACCAGGGTGACACAGGGCACGAACCACCGTGTGCCCCTCCACAGTGAGGCACTCCCTTGGCCCTCTCTGGCTCTCCCAGACTGCACAGCGCCTCCCCGAGCTCCCCTACCTGCAGCACAGGACGTGTGGCTCTCGCTGACTGACTTCACCAGCCGGAGGTCACCGGTCAGCCCTGCGGGTGGCTCTGACTCAGCTGTGGGCGTGGGCACAGGGGCCTCCTGCGGCCCAGGCCGGCCTTGCCGCTGGCTGTGGTTGCGCAGGACGCGGTGCGCGGTCTCCATGACCACCTCGGTGTTCAGGCTCTGGGCCGCCATGGCCAGGAGCTCGTCGTCGTCCTCCCCCGCGTCCCAGGCATCGCTAGTGTTGCTCTCGAACTCCTGGAAGGTGCTGACCCTCTTGGCCTTCCCGGGGGTGGTCGGCACCTTGGGTGTGGACTTGAGCAAGCTGCAAGGCAGAGGCACCGTGACTGCACACGGTCCAGAGTGTTCCCCCAAAGCCACCAGCAGAGAGCCGGGTTAGGAGACGCATCAGGCTCACTGCGGACGGCATGAGGAGCAAAGGAATGTGGGCTGTACAGCAGGACTCAGTGACAGGGAGAGGAGCATTTCGGGGGAGCAGAACCCCGCAAAGCAGCACGGGGCTGCTGGAGGGTGAGCAGACACACCCCCAAGTCACGTCCAGCAGGGCCTGCGACCCATCCACCCCCGGCATCTCTGCAAAGCCAGAGGTTAGGGAGGAGGGACCTTGGCACACAGATGGGGAGACTGCACCATTTCCAGGAGAGTCCCACAAACCCGACCACACACACCCACAAGCTGTGTATCAGGACATACGTCAGACACGTGCAGTCCTGCAGGATGCAGTGCGACAGGGAGTGCCTGCCACCTGCCAGCTCTGCGCCAGCTCCATGCCCCTTGGGCCCGCCCCTCACCACATCAGGCTGCAGCCCACAGCCGCCCCTCCCCACAGCGGGATGAGCTAGGCAAGAGCTAGAAGCTGCAGGGAAGCGGAGGACACAGGCCACCCGGCCCTCCTCCACTCAGAGCCCCAAGGCCTGGGCTGGGAAATTTCACTTACGTGCCGTGTACCAGTGGGTCAAAAGGGGGGTGCTGGGCTCCGTACACATGCTGGATGCTGAGGAAAAAGAAAGAGAAGACAAATGAGCTTTGTCTGGGCTCTGCCAAAAGCCTGCAGCTGACTCAAGAGATGGTCACCCCGGGAAGCCCACAGGACGAGCAAAGCAGCGTTCCATGAGCTGCTGCCCTCCAGCCACCCATGGTCAGCAGGGCCATTTAAGGAGGGATGAACAGTGCCACACAGGCCCGAGCACACCAAGAAGCAGGCCCTGCTTGGAGCCACAGCCCTCCAGGCACCACTGCAGAGCGTCACACAGCCTGGGCTCTCAGGTGGCCTCCGGAGGGATGCCCGTCCCGGGTCCTCATCAGAGACTATTTCGTCTGAGGAGAAACTGCAGTGGCACAAAAAAGATCAACATAACTTCTTCAAAGATTCGACTGTTCCATTGCAACCTTTTATGCTGGTCACAGTACATTTGGAAAACACAGCACCCACATGGCAGACCCAGCTGGTCAGCGGAGGGCTTTCCCCGGGTGACCTCAGCCCAGGGAGAAAGAAATGGGGCTGTTCCTTCTCCAACAAAAGCAGGCAGCCTGAGCTGGCACCCTGGCCCAGCTCCTCCCGCACCTCCCTCCTTGCAGCAGAGCTGAGCCCGGATGCCCACCCCGGGCAGCAGTGACAGAGGCGGGGACACAGCATCCTCAGGGCTTCTCCGGTCAGCCAGTCCCAGCCGGCCCTTTCCTTCGACTTCAGGCACACGAGAAAGTCCTCGCTTGCTGAGAGAGCCTAACACCCAGTGACGGGGCAGAGAAACCTCCGTGGGTCCGAGGCGGTACCTGGCGGCACGCGGGGTGAGTGTAGCTGACGGGTGCACCTTTAGGTCCCTCATGAAACCCTGCCTTCCCCGCTCAGTAACAGACCGTGACTACGCCTTCACTCCTGTATTCTGCTTCAGTACACTCAGGAAACTGCCCACTTCTTCTACACACTGCTTGAAAAGACACTGTATGCGACAGATTTAACACCAGAGCACACATGCACTGCCCTGACATTTCCCTGCAACTCCTTGTTACTGTATAGGAATTTCAAAATAAACAGGTTTTCAGAACCACAACAATAGACCGAGCAACAGCTGCTTCCGCCCAGCCTGTGCCCCTGCCTGGACAACACCAGCCCTGATGTCACACACTGCCTGCCGCCACACAGCGACAACACTGAGAGTGTAACCAATGCTGACAGGGGACATTTAACTTCCTTGACACTGTTTGTGACTACACAGTAGCAACCCGGCCTCTGGAGACAAAGCCACACTCTCACTCCCTCCCGGGGGGACGCGCTCGGGCCGCCTTCCACCAGGGCGGGCACTTCTGGAGCCTGTGCCCCCGCTGCCAGGGGTGGCAAGCCGCTCCGGGCCCAGCAAACAGGGCCTGCCAGGCGGCGACTGCTGGCAGCCTACCGGAGCAAGGGCAGCCTGGGGCTGACCGTGTCCTCTTGACTGAAAGACAGAGGACGAGTCCTGTAAGTTCTGCTCATCTGCTCCTCGTTTCCTGTGAGCTGCTGGGGCTTCTGTCCCTGCACTAGCGGGGCCTCCCCTTACCAATGTGTAAAACTTTCTCTCTAAAAAGAGTTCACGTCTGGTAACTCAGACGGTGTGGTCTCCAGAGACACCCAGGCCCCAGCCCAGAGCCTGGGGGTGTGTCATCACACATGGCAAGGGGACTCCACAGATGGCATTGACAGGAGGACCCTGAGATGGACATCACCTGGGCTATCCAGAAGGGCCCACACTGACCACGGTGGGGAATGCTGACAAGAAGCAGAGCGCCTTCCCAGACTACAGCTGGAGGACCAGAGGAGACAAAACCATCTGAGGTTGCGGGCACCTCCGAGGCGGCACGGGGCAGGAAGGGCCGCTCCCGGGCCTGGGGAGGAGCGGGCCCTGCAACAGCCTGGCCCGGCCCAGGGAAACCGGGCTCAGACTTCCGACCCAGCCACAGGAGCCTGGGGAGCCCTCCGCAGAGGAGGACAGAGATCCAAAGATAGCAAAGGGATTCCGCAGGTTTGGCCCTGGGAGATTTGCTACAACTTCTCCTTCTAAGCGAAGGCACTATGGAGAAGTAAAGGACTTCTGAGAAAGACCCTAAGCAACATCCGAACCCGGACATCACATCCGTTTCTGCACACATCGGGGTCCGCGTAAAATGCACCTCACGCTGAAAAGAAGCCGGAAAGCAGAGCTGGGATCTGTCCGCGCAGCCTCTAGCAGGCACTGTCCTGGGTGCTGAAGGCACAGACTCATGGTGCCCACGGGCAGGGGCTGCTCATGACAAGCACCTGGCGAGGTGAAGAGGCAGCCACGACCTCCACTCAGCTTCGGCCACACTTGCGCCGTAATTTCTTCATCAGTATGAAATATTTCAAGTCCTAAAACACCAGGAGTCCCGGCGGCCGTTAACTGAGATTGAGCTGACTCTGAACTACTGCCACACTGACTCCTCTAATCTGCCCGACACAGTGAGGCAGACATGATTCTACCCATTCTAAAGATGGAGAAACCGTGGTCCAGAAAGCGTAAGTGACCTGCCCAAGGTCCACACACACACACACACACCCTGCAGGTTGCAAAGCCAGCTTAATGACAGGCAGGACATAAAGAATGAGCACACAAACACCACGCACAGCGTGGGCTCCACAGAATGCTAACATTCTGTCAAAGACAGCCGCAGGCCTGCCCGACCCGCTCCCCTCCTGTCTTCTCACAGGCAACTGCCAGCCTGAAGTCGCCACTGGTCACTTCCAGGCAAGTGTGCCGCCTTCCGCTGAAGAGGCGCGGTCCCCTCAGGCAGCATCAGTCTGCAAGCGGTGGGTGGGTGTGTATCGTCGGTTCATTTCTGCACATTCTGTTCCTTTGTTTTCTCGAGATTGTTACCCGTCCCTGTTAATGCACACAGTTTCAACTCTGTGTAAGAGCAGGGCTTCAGCAGTGAACCAACGTTTCAAATGAATCTTCACAGAAACGCCAAACACAGACCAGAACTGCTCTGGCAAAGGAGGAGCAAGAGCTGAGCTGGCACCCGCGGACCTCACGGAGACGCAGGGCAGGTCCAGCGAAGGTGCAGGAGCTCTGCGAACAGCAGGCCTGATGAAGGAGTGTATCCAGAGCAGACGACCTACTCTTAAACCTCAAGAATAAAAACACAGTTGAATCCATTTAAAAATGGACAAAGGATTGGAACGGGCAGTTCTCCAAAGAAGATGTGTAAATGAACAGAAGCACGGAAAACGGGCTCAACATCATCAGAGACGCAGAAGTACCCGACACACCACTTCAGCACAGCAGGCGGCCAAGGAGACATGCTGACCAGAGGCGAGGAACTGGACCCCACGCTGCCGGTGGGGATGGACACTGGCGCAGCTGCCTCGGGACACGGATGGGGCTTCCCATAACCCAGTAATTCCACCCCGTCCTAGACACCCACAAGAAATGAGACCTCCCCGGGACAGTTCTCACAGAAAGGTCCGCAGCAGCACTCAGGTGGGAAGAGCCACCCGAATGTCACAGGAGGACAGTCCAGCTGCAAAGCCAAGTCCTGGCACGTGCCGTAACAGTGACGCCGAGCTCTGGGAAGAGCCAGCTGCAGCACGCATGCCCTGGGCTCCCCACCACCATGCTGTAAGAACGACGCTGACATGACCAGCTAAGGAAAGAAGCCAGTCACTGAGAGCATGTGACATGATTCCACTCAACAGAATGTCCAGGACAGGCAGTTCTGCAGAGACTACAAGGGACCTGCAAGGGCCAGGATTCAGCTCAGTGGCACAGGCACCTACCTAGCAGGCGTGAGGTCATGAGTTCGATCCCTGGTACCAAAAGAAAACAGAAAACAAGAAGATCGGCAGTTGCTCAGGGCTGGCGTAAGGGAGGCCGGGGTGACACGGGGTTGTTTTTCATCTCGTTGTCATTGACAGGTTGTTTTTGTTTTGGATCTTATTTTCAAGATGATAGACAGGCTCTAAAATTGTTATATTTACACAACTGCAAATACACTGAAACAAGTAATTTCACACTTTAAGTGGTGCGTGCCGTGGTGTGTGAATGGAAGAGGGCAAACCGTACTCCAGGTGAGCCTCAGTGAAGACACCGCTAGGCAACACCTCCTCCATCGGCCTTCCGCGCTCTCTGGAGCAGCAGCCAACACCATAACCATGTGCACCGTCAGGGCCGGCCTGAGCTGCACCACTGGGCTGGCCATGCCTCGCTCTGCACAAGTGGCCCTGCCCTCACTCCAGCCACCCTTCGGGTCCTCCAGGCGACACCTGAGACGTCAGGGAGCATCGGCCTGCAGTCCCCACCCGCCCTCCAGAATCCATGAGCAGGATCAAACACTTTTTTGTTAACACTGCAAAATAAAAAATGTGCCTAGCCCATTAAGATCAGTTCTTTTTCCTGTAATTGTTCAGAGGCCTCTTCGACCTTACTGGAAAGCTTCCAGCATCCAGAAGCAAAAGGTCCAGGTTCAAGTTCCAGCTCCAGCACTTACTAACTGATGAACTTTAACCAAGGAATTGCCTTGAGCTTCAGTATCCCAGTCCAGGAAGTGGAGACAAAAACATACCGAGGGCGGGGAGACAGCACCGGCGCTAAGACGTGAGATTTGCGTGCACGAGGCCCTGGGTCCCATCCTTAGCAACACACACACACACACACACACACACACACACACACGGTGCACGAAATGGGAATGGGATGACAGCGGGGCTGCCACACCATCGGGTGACCAACAGCAGCGTCTCCCACCGCTGTCAATCTAGCTTTACTCAGTATTTATATTCTTCCTATCATTCCCCAAAGTATTTATAGGGCTCAAAAATCACAGGCAGTGTGGCCCAAGTGCACCGTGCCTGCCATCTCCACAGAGGCCCCGCAGCACCATCGCAGACCTCGGCCTTCCCTCCCGGCACAGCCGGAGACTCACTCTTCACAGGCAAAACATTTGTGCGTACTGAGCATAAAATGTTCCAAAAAGATCACAGTCTAAAGACGAGCACATTCTGTC